TTACACTCCACGCTTTCCACTTTACACTCCTCACTCCACACTACACTCCACACTTTACACTCCACACTCCACACTCTACACTTTACACTCCACACTCTACACTCCAAACTTTACACTCCACACTCCACACTCTACACACCACACTCTACACTTTCCACTCCACACTCCACACGCTACACTCTACACTCCACACTCTACACTTTACACTCTACACTTTACACTCTACACTTCACACTCTACAGTTTACAAACTCCACACTCCTCACTCCACACTTTGCACTCCTCACTTTACACTCCACACTCCTCACTCCACACTTTACACTCCTCACTTTACACTCCACACTCCACACTTTGCACTCCACACTCCTCACTCCACACTCTACACTCCACACTCCACACTCTACACTCCACACTCTACACTTTACACTCCATACTCCACACTCTTCACTTTACACTCCGCATTCTACACTTTACACACTCTACACTCCCCACTCTACACTTTACACTCCACACTCCTTACTTTACACTCCACACTCCACACTCTACACTTTCCACTCCACACTGCAGACTGGTAACAAGGGAACATGTACAAGACTGTTTAAATTAACTACTGTATTGCAGAAAGGTATTGTGCGTGACTGCATAACCATATTGACATCTGTACCATTAACACACGTGTGAGCATTCGGGTTCGTGGGCTTCATCTTGTTTTTTGTGGATCTGCTTTTGTGCACGTTTTCCTTTGTATTGAAACTGCCATCTCAATTGCCTTTGCAACATTTTGGAGTTGGAACCTTTCATTTTCCATAGAACTTGCAACATTTTGGTGGAATTTGTAACATTTTGGAGCTGGAAGCTGCTGTTTCAAGGGTATTTGCAACATTTTTGAATTCGAACCTCTTATTTTCGATGGAATTTGCAACATGTTGGTGCTCGAACTGTTCATGTAACATGGTAGTTCTTGACTAGGATTCATTTAGGGTTCGCTTTAGGGTTAGTCTAGAAGTTTAAGAGTTGGGGTTTGTGTATTTTTAAGGATTGGTTTAGGATCTTCTCAGGTTTGTTTTTAAGCTTTATTTAGGCTTGGTTTGAGACCTATTTTTGGTATTTTATGGTTGGCTTAGGGCCAATTTTAAGGTTTGTTGAGGGTTGGTTTAGGATCTATTTCGGATTGGTTTCCACATATATTTAGGGTTGGTTTACAGTTTATTTAGGCTTGGGTGAGCATCTATTTGGGGTTGGTTTAGGGGTTGTTTAGTGTTTATCCAAACTTGGTTTAGGATCTATCCAGAGTTGGTGTAGGACCTATTCAAGATTGTGTTTAGAGTCGGGTTGAGATTTATTTAGGTCTGGTTTAAGATCCATTTAGGTCTGGTTTAAGATCCATTTAGGGCTGGTGTAAGGTTTGTTTAAGATTTGCTTCAAAATTGTTTCAGGACTGTTTAAGGTTTACTTCAAGTTGCTTCAGTGTTTCTTTGGTTGATTTGGGGTCTATTTATGGTTGACTAGGGGTTTATTTACATGAATTTATAAGATGTTTCTTAAGGATTACCTGCAGTGTGAGAAACAAAAAACGGGAAAAACAGAGAAGCAGAAGAGCAGGTAAGCAAAGAAACAAGGAAAAGCAGAAAGCAGAGAAACTGGAAAAAAAAAGGCAGGGGAAAGCAGAAAAGTGGAGAGGCAGAGAAGCAGAGACGAAGAAGCAAAGAAGAAGAAAAACAGAAAAGTGGAGAAGCAGAGAAACAAAAAACTATAAACGCAGAGAAACAGGGAAAAACAACATAGCAAAAAACAGAGAAGCAGAAAAGCAAAGAAGCAGGGACAGAGAAATCCCAAAAAAAATGCCCAAAATGAAAAACAATCCCAAAATAAATAGCCTTCCTTTAAAAATGCTGCGCGACTTACCACTCGAGGATTTAGATAGGATGCTAGGAAGTGAGTGCAAACCGATAGATAGCCCTCCCTTGTTCATCCGAAAGAAACAACAACATTCCAGGTTGTGCTTTTGAACCCGCAACCCCTCCACAACACTTTGATAGTGATCGTGTTTAGATGACATAAAATTTTCACTATCTATTGAACCCATCGCAAACCCATGGCGCAGTCACTGAAAAAATAAACTGCTGCCTGAAGAATCGCCCTGAAATCATTCTGAAAGCACCTCAAACGGAAAAGCGCCCTGAAAAGGATCTTCTTGAACCTGCCCTCTGCGTTCCTGCAATGCGGGTGCAGGCTGAACACTTGCATGTAGTTGCTCATGTGTGAAAAAAATGATATCAAGTACAGTTCTAATTACATTTCAATACCTTCGCGCATAAGGGAAACGTGTTTGCTTTGCATCTTGAGGACTTAACTTGGCACAAAAACATGTTCTGCCCCAGTACCCAAAGGAATACATCATAACACATCAAGGTTGACGGAAATTTCATGAAAGGTTGACGGAAGATTCATAAAGAGTTCAACATAGTTCAACTGTACGTTATCGCGTGATATTGTGAAAACACGTGTAAGAATTCAATGCACCCTCAAGCACGAGCTGGCAAATTTTTCCGGCAAACTCAATCCCACAAGGTTCATAAATGTTCATAAAATACAAAAATTATACAAAAGCAAACTGGCAAACTCAATCCCACTGAGATCATCTGCCTTGGGCACTTGGAAACTCTCGAATCCGGCATCGTTCACAGCACTGGCTAACACCTCGGGTTAGGCGCCGGGTTACAAGTTCAAACAGCTAGTGGCGGGGTTGTAGGCTTAGAATGGCTCAAGCTCCAAGCTTACGGAATACTCCAAGCTTACGGAATATGCATGATCGGCATTAATGGATCAGCTGGGGCGGTTAACCACTTGTTTTCCCTACCCACAGCCGCCCAGGTAGAAAACGGGTGCACTTTTCAAGCAGTGCTTGAGCCAAACAAGTCCTCGAATGACAAAATGAGTTGAGCTACATTGTAATTACATTGGAAAGACATCCATGTGGTGACATGAGGGGGATGTGCGGTGCTGAGTACATCTGATTTTTCAACTAACGAAGCATGATTCAAAAGCATCGGAAAAGTACTCGCTTGCCTGATCTTGCTCTCGAAGTCTATGACCTCCCCACTCCTGGCATCCCGCTATATACACCGCCAGCCTAAGACCCAATCACAATAGTCTGACATGAAGGAAGAATCAAACATGCCCTGACTTTGCTTCTTCCGGGCTTTGTGATTTGAAAGATCTCTGCGGGCTTAAAACTTAAAAGTGCATGCACCAATGCTTTGGTTTGGCATGGTTTGGCATGGTTTGGCATGGTTTGGCATGGTTTGGCAAATTTTGGCAAAGCTGCGTGAGACTGAGCTGAGCTGGTACCTTTTTGAAATACATCCAAAAGATATTCAATGTCATCCAAACACTAGAACTCCTAAGTTCCTAAGACCAAAATGTGCGATGTATTTCAAAGCTGACAATTTCAAGCGAAAAAGTGACGCATGGTGGAGCCTTTGATGCAGGATTCTGTCGCAAGCCCAAGGCTGTCAGCAGGCTACGGTCGATGTCCTGCCCAACGTCAGGTCTGAGAGCTGTGCTACAGAACTTTCAACATCTTTCAACGTCTTCAACACCTCCTTCAACCTCAAAAGCTGTGCTAAGTTTCTGCTACACAGCTCAGTGAGACATTCCAACTTTTGAACTATTTTGAGCTCTGGCTTTGTGCTCCCCTTTTGTCTTGTTTTGGTTGTTCTTGGACTCTGTGTCCCCCTCTTTGCTTTACGGTGGTCTCTGAATCAACACCGGGAAGCCTTGTGTGCTACAGCCTAGGATATTTCCTACGATTTCCTATAATTAAACAACTGGAAACTGGGATCTGGAACAAAGGCTTGTATAGATGGACAAGTCAAGGAAACGAGCGACAAAATCTGAAAACATTATAAACGACAGTTTCACGTGCTGCCCCCTGTGTTCCCTGAGTGAAATGCCTTGGCACAGTCGGACTTAGGCTTGTCATACAAAGCACGGCTCAATGCTTCTGTCGCTGCCTGCTTCATCAGCCAGCACGAAGTCTTCCCAGTCGCAATCAACTCAGTCTGTAGTTATCCAGAAACCCCCAGATTGCGTGAAAAGTTGAAGGTCAAAGAGGGAGTAGAATACCTGTTCCATTCTTGTTCCGGACTCTATCTGCGTCACCACAGTGAAGCCAAAGCAAACAATCTGTCTTGATTCGATTTGCGCGAGAGACCCTTTTGCATGTGTCCCCCGCATGGGCCTTAAGAGCAAAGTTCGAGCTTTGTCTCCCGCCGCTGGGGCTAAATTGAGAGTCTTCCTGACAGTCTGTTGAATAGAATTACACAACAGCGCTCCCACAACCGGTCAAAACATGAATGTATAAGTCATGTATAAGTCATGTATAATATGGGTCATCAAAGCGTTCTCAAGTCTTGGGCAGTCTGCCCGTCTGCCCATGTCAAATAGTGAGACAATGTCCTCTAGGGTTGACATTGTCTGTGGCTCAAGCATCTGCGCATGAAGGCTGGCTGGCTCATGCAAGCTCATGCAACATAATTCTATATAAATTCATATAAATTCAAACACGAGCAATTGATAGCAATTGGATGCAATTGGCTCAATTTCAATTTCAATCACTTGAAATCGTTGGACCGTTTGGCATCGGTTTTCTGACACCTTCTTGCCCGCGGAAGAGATTCCAATTGCTTCGTGTTTGTCTTTGATTGTCTTTGTGGATCTTACGTGATCTTACCTGTTTCAACTGTCTCAGCATGTTTCAACTGCTTCAACTGTTTCAACCAGACTACCCAATAGATCCAACAGTCTGCCATACAGCAAGTCGTCAACTTTAGATAACTTTAGTGCCTTTGGTGCGATTCACGCAGCAAGAACGTATTCTAGTGTCCAGCTGCCTTGCGGTGGAAAAAGATTTAGATAAGATCCGCCCGTTGCCCCTTGGAATCTGAAACAATTTCATCAATCCACGTGAGGTCACTAATTTGGGCTTGGAAAATGCAGTCAGGTTTCAAAGCCACAGGGCATCACTTCCGACACGTCAGAGTGACGTTGACGACCAGAAAGCATTTCAACCTTGAACCGGGCACCATAGCAAGCTCAGCACGTACCATGGAGGCCTGCTTTGAGGAATGCTAGTGAGCTATAGTGAGCTGTAGTGAGCTATAAGGAGCTGGAGGGGCCAACATGTGTACGCTGATTACAATGGCAGTTGGTCTTGTATAAGTGTTTTGTCTCGTTTTGTCTCAATCAATGATGTGAAACGTGCCAGGCAATAAAGTATATACAGTATATAGAGATTAAATAAATTCAGCACCTCCCACACCAGCCCTACACAGCACACATGCCTCTGCATTATTTTGTCTGTTTTTCTCCGAAAGTCCTAATGTTGTTCCTGCTTTTCCACACTCCGCTGAACAAACTCGCCTCTGCTCGATCCAGTGCTTCTGTCAATGCTTGGAGTGCATAGTTCTTCGGGTATTCGTCACCTGACAAAATATGTTACGCGCACTAGAAACAAAGTAGCTACCCATGAGTGAGTTGATTCAATGGTTGAACAGTTCACTCGCAATCGGGCTACAATGTATGGTACAAGATAAGATGGTACGACAATGTACTGCACTACTGTTTTTTTTCTACTATGACCTATGTCTTGCATCGCGCCGCAAGAAAAGACAACTAGCTCGTACCATGTTCTTTAAGAAACACACGATGTACTGGAAGGCACCTAAGCCTCTTTGATGCAAGGAGCACAAGGATCAACCCTGAATATCAATCACACCATAGCTTCACCGTGCAATTGTCTGCAACTTTGGAGATTCTATGCTCAAGTTCTTAAGTTAAATTGATAAACACGCGAGAAACAAATGTTGCTTGAGGGCTACACAACAGAGCACAACCAGTGCCAGCAAAAAGATGTGGCACTGGACTCACTGAAGTGAAACATCACAGGTCACAAATGCGGAATCAAACGAGAACAAGAACATACAAGAACAACATAGAAGAAAAATCAGGAAATAGGATCGAAATGAATCGAAATAGGACTGGTATGGGGAGGTTTGGGATGGTTTGGATGTACTGGTGCATCTCACTGCGATTTCCCAAAGTGAATTAATTGCCTTGCAAAGAATCGAAAGCTTCGCATGCCGATGGTCTGGACCTCACATGTGTCACTTGTGAACAGAGCCAAAGGATAGTTAAGGTAAAAAATGGCAAGAGATGGCAAGAGCATGGAAGGACCAAACATCAGTCAAACATCATCTGTTCATATTTTCATATTTCTCATGGTCTAAAGAGTGAAGTCCACTACAAACCATCGAAGTCCATCATAAACCCTTCCAACTCTTGACTGAATCAATTGCAAGTGTCAGCTATTATCAAGCAAACAAATGCACAAACATATTAAACATATTTATATAAAATTATATAAACATGATCAACCAACATTGTGGCAAGGGACTCTTGACACTTCTGCGCGCTTTGCATCTGCATCTGCTGCAACATCTGCAGCCTCTGTAACACACCAAAGAAGTCGACTGGCCGGGGCGCATTCAAACAACCAAAGCAGCATGATTATATATACAATTGACAGCAAGGGAATGTTTCCATCCCATCAATTTCCAGCTATATACAAGGATGTATGCGATTCAAAACGGATAAAGGCGGAAACACATGAGCTCTCACATGTAAATAAAACTTCCTGCTAATGCCCGGTACTGAGCTCTGTGCTGTAATTGCTGTGCGTATGGAGGCAAGCAATGCATCTCTGGTGTTTGCTCAAGCGTCTGCATCGCCCATGGTCGCTCCTCAGTTGAGCTAAATCAAAGCAAAATCCACAACTTCTCCGTTGCAAATTCTCAAGACAATTCTACATATTTCATCATATTTCTACACCTGAACTTCTCTCTCTTGCTATCCTAGGTCTCCACGTCTTTACTTTGACAGCGTCAGTGTCTATAGTCTATAGTCTCTCTTGGTCATGACGGTCATGCATCTTGTCTGAAAGGGTCTCGAATTTCTGCCCCTCTCATATTAAGATCGATGAGACTTGGATGCTATTGGACTACCAGCAGCATGCAACATATATGCAACATATGCAAGGCAAACTACGGCTATGAAGGGCATCTAAACAACACTTTCACAGCGTAGGTTTTTTCATTGTAGCAACATGTAGCAACCATGGCTCAAGATAGTCACATCCGCCTTCAAATCTCATGTCGGGCCCCATCTCAGTCGCACTGTGGCCCTGCAGATTCTGCCCCAAATTTCATGCGTTTGACAAGGTGAAGGATGGTGCAGAATGAACATCAAAGATCATCAAATCACAAAGGAAACACCAACATTCACATTGATGAACCAACTATACAGTTCAAGAAATCGCGAAGCAAACCTCCAGGTTTGCCAATCCCTCACTTTTGGCTATTCTATAAGTCAAACCTCTCCTATACTTTTGACTCTGCTTCACAACCAATGCATATTTTCCAACAAGCAGCCGTTTACTTCTGCCCCATCCCTCCAATCCCTGTTGAATGCTCCTTAAACATGAGTGCAGTTGTTTAACATGCTGGAAGCTACGAATGTGTGTTGGGCTGCTGGAAGCTACTATAATAATGTATGCCGGAAGCTACGGATATGCATATGAATCATTGTTTTTACCGGCTTGATCGCTCTTGTATTGCTCTTGTGCCCTGCGACTGTTCAGATTGCTGCCTCTACTAACTGTGGCATCTGCGGCAATGCATCCTAGGAAGCAGTTGGGCGGAGTGAGATGGAAGTGCAGACTTTTAAGTGGTTGTGAGCACGGTTGTTTATGTCATTTTATGTCTATGTTGTTCTGACTTAACGTCAATTCAAGAATATTGGGAGCTCTTCGGCAAGTGAAAGCTTTGCCAGGATCAAAAATCAAACCTTGCACCTCTCATCCTGTGAAAAAATGCAGTCCTGCAACTCTTCATGCATGTCCCGCAGTAAAGCTTGCCCCTGTTCCTGGCTTGCCAGAAGGGGGGGGCCCGCTTTTCTTGTCTCATTGATGCTGAGCATTTCTGGCAAGTCATGCAAAAAACGGTTTCAAAGGTCGATGAAGGAAAGCACACCACATGGGAGGACCGCAATTGTTGAGGCAGTATGCTGCAACTGCGCAATGCTGCGCAATTCTACAAAATGCTGCGCTATGTATCAGTTTCCAATCCGACTTCATGAAAGTCTTGAAGTCTCAGCTGACCCTGAACTGATCTGCCTTTGACATCTTCGATCTGTCAAGTCTTGTCAAGTCTTGTCATTATGTCATGTTGAAAGTTCTCACTCGCAGCTCCTCCTGCGGCTCGAGCTCCAACCGCTGCCTTTGCACCACATCCTCTAGTCGACTCCAGATGGAACGACACGAACGACATCGTGTGGACATGTAGAAAAATGATGAAACATGTAGAAACACGTGGAAACATGTGGAAAAATATGACGCCGTGACACTGTGTGACACACGTTACTCTGATGCATGTGAAACGCATTGAAACGCAAATGAAATGCAAAACAATGCAAATGAAATGGGGTGAATGGATGTGAATGGGAAGTACGAATGCGTGTGCCAAGCACTGTCTGGTGCTCAGGGTGGTGAACCTTTAACGCGCAGAGCTGTAGAGGAACCTTTGCTGGTGGTATCTCTTGAAACGGGCCCGTCTTTCAACCCAGTTTTGAAATCCAGAAAACCACCAAACATGTCTGACGTGTCTTGTAGATTCTCAATGATTCTTGTACTTTCTTTGAACCATGGCCCCAAGGGGTACCTCAGGACATCTCAGGACCCAAGAAACAAAAACGACAGTAGTCTACTAATGTCTACTACACTGGCCACATCAAGAAACTCACAGCCGCTCGCAGCCAGCTGTCTTCTCAACCTTTCTGCTCGTATGAATTCATATGTCAATTCTAGCTAGAATGAACCAGAAAGAACAGGATGAAACTGCAATGGGTCAGAATGAACTCGAATGGCTACAACACAGTTGGTTGTTGATCAAAATTCCAAAAAATTCCTTCATCCGCAAGCGGCCATTCTTCGCGAATAAAAATGCTACTCTCCCGAAACTTTCGCGAACTCCACGTTTATCTTTCGCGGGGCCCATGTTGGGCAAGAGCGCCTCTTATGAAGATTCGTTCACCGCCTGCCAAATTACGCCAGAGAATCACGGATCACTTCTTCATAGCCTTTTAAACGTGCATCTAGCATCACGGAATCTCTTCTCAGGGAAGATTGTTGCTGACTAGTTTTTTTTTACAAGGTTTACTAACCCACCCCCGTCAACATGCACTTTGACTTTCGCCCGCTCCTTCGCAGAACTTTCGCGAAAATATCCCTATTCACAGACCCCGGCCATCAGCAGGGGGCGCGTTGAAGGAAAAACGAGCACCAGGGGCCTTGGTGTTTGGCTCTCGCAAAGCCTCACTTGTTTGGAGCTTGTTTCTTGAGACTTCAAAAAACATCATTATAGGCAGTGACAGCGGCAGGTGCAAGGATGCGCTTCAGGACCATGGTGTTTGGCTGTCGCGAAGCCTGACCTTTGGAAGCTCGGCTGCTACCTGTGAAGGGCAAGGTGATTGTCCAAGAGCACCACCACACAGGGAACTGAACCAGAACCAAACCGAAATTCTCCGGTGCCCTTCTCCTGCCGGACCCTGGGCGACAGTGGGTGGCAGCCCTTTAAATAATGATTATATAATATCCAACTTTCGCGAAACTTTCGCGAATAAAAATGTCACTTTCGCGAACTCAAAAAAAACTTTCGCGAGGGTTCACAACATAACATGAACGGTCTTCGCAATTAAAACTCTTTACCAGGACCTTTTAGATCGATTACCAGTTGTTTTAGGTTGATTCTATAAAAAATCTTGATATTCCAAAAACCTCAAAGACCCCCATCATACAGCACAATTCCTGCATATCTTCTTGATTTCTGGATGCAGAAAATGCAAAATCTATCAAATTCTTACTTTGTGCGGACAAAAGGATATGAACATCTACAAACCAAATCCACTCTTCTTGCTACACTGTCATGTTGCTTTCGTAAGTAAAGCTTACGCCCGTAAGTACCTCAAGACCGCTTTCTTTGTCCTTACCAGCCCATCAAAGTCTCTTCACTGATCGAGCCACCGCAAAGGAGGGTGAACTGGTCTCAGGCAAATTGGTCGCGGTGGGCACATTGAGGCGGTTTGGAATCACCAGATTGTTAATCTCACAATTGACCTGGCAAGGCATTGCAGGGCATGGGAAGGCATGGCTACGAGGGCGCACAGCGGCCCCAGCGACCACAGCGGCGGCAACTGCAACATGATGCAACATGAAAGAATGTGAGGTCAATTCTCCGCGATCCTGTGATGTTGTGTCTCTCAAAGCGTTTCAGATGCCAAATCTAAGTGTTGCAGTGGAGTCTTTGACATGCAATGTGCACAACTGACCAACATGACCATTCACTTCCAATAAGCGCAGAATTTTCTTCCAATACGCGCACTGCAGACGCTGGTTGCCGCTCCACTCTCTCTGCTCACTGTGCAGCGAAGATGTTACCATTTCAGCGCTTCTCAAAGTTGGAAACCCAAGAAAGCTAGCCAACCGAGGCACTTTAGCAGACTCAAGTTTGTCTATAGTCCGCTGGTTTGCAGCAAATTTCAGGCATCCAAGCATTGCCAAGCATGGCAGTATTAAAACAATTTCCCTTTTTCAAGGCAATAAATGAATCACACTCTGAAAGCAACAATAACAAAGCAGAGGACAGTGTGGCCCGAACGAAAGAAGGAGGGAGGAGAGAAAATAATACAAAACACATAATGATGAATGGTGCCATAAGAGAGAAAGGAAGAAAGGTCGACATCGTAGGTGTTTCGTAGGATTTTTGTCGGAACTAGACGGAAATGCATCATCTACAAGTCAACTCCCGCGGACATGACATGTGAACACCTCTGTAGACAATGTGGGCGACGTGGATCATGCACATGATCTGGAAGATTTTGTAAATGATGTAGGTGATGTAGATCAAGTAGAAGATTATGCAGGTGATATAGGTAATGTAAATAATGTAGTTGTTGATGATGTAGACAATCATGTAAATGATGAAGGTGATGTAGAAGACCATGTAGATGATGCAGGTAATGTAGATGATGTAGTTGATGATGATGATGATGGTGGTGGTGGTGATGATCATGACGGTGATCATGCCGATGATGTAAATGATGTGGTTGCTGATGATGTAGAAGAGTATGTAGACAATGTAGGTGATGTAGACGACAATGAAGATGATGCAGGTAATGTAGATGATGCAGTTGATGATGATGATGAGGAGGAGGAGAAGGAGGAGGAGCCGACGACAATGACAACGACGACGACGACGATGACGGCGATGATGTTGATGATGATGATGATGATTGTGATGAAGTTCATCTAGATGATGAAGTTGAGTTTGATGTAGATGATGATGACGAAGAAGATGATGATGAACATGATGTTGGTTCTTGATGATGATGATGATGATGATCATGATGATGATGATGATAATGAAGTAAAAAGCACCGTTTTGCGCCAGGATTTTTTTCCCTGGCAATGCTGCATCAATTCCCTCGCTATTTGCAGCATGTTAGACCTCGAAGCTGCCATTTCGACAGTATTTGCAACATTTGGAACCAATTCTACGGTAATATATACATATATATATATGTGTATATATATATAGGAAGTAGATACATAGCACGTGTATATATGACTATAGGTAGCACGTAGGTACTTTGAGGGAGTATGTGTGCTACGGAGGTGGTCTAAAAGGTAGCATGTACCTAGTAAATGCGAGGCTGGACCGCAGAAATGCTGCCAATAGCTTGCAAATAGAAGGGAGGGGGTGCTACCTGGGGACCCATACCATTGGGGGGGGTAGGAACACGGAACACGGAACACGAGACCATATATTCATATAGATAGATAGATAGATAGATAGATAGACAGACAGACAGACAGATAGATATAATAGATAGATTGTTTGCTTTTAAGGTTTATTTGGGGTTGGATTAAGGTGTTCTTGATAGTCGGTTTAAGGTAGGTTGGCTTAGGGATGTTTAGGGTTGATTTTGGGTTGGTTTAAGGTTTGATTAGAGCTGGTTTAGGGACTATGGAAATTTGGTTCAAATTTTATTGAATGTTGTTCGAAAATTATTTGAGGTTGTTTAGGGTCGATTTAGTGCCGGTTCATTTTACGTTTTAAATTGGTTTACAGTTCGGTTTAGATTGGTTCGGGGCTGGCTAGAGAGCTATTTAGGGTTGATTTGTGGTTTATTGAGGGTTGGCTCAAGGTTTAAATGGTTCTTTGTTGCAATTTGTTTAGAACTTTATTTAGAGTTGGTTCAGGGTTGCTTTGTTTTTCTTCAAAGTTGGTTTGTAGTTTTTCCGAAGGGGTGGCTCGAAGGTTTATCTCCGATTGGCTCAAAACTCGTTTTATGGTGGCCGGCTGGCTTGCTTGCTGGTTGGCTGGCTGGCTCACTTGCTTACTTCCTTGCTTCCTCAATTGCTTGCTTGCTGTCGTCCTGGCTTGCTCGCCTGCATGCAAGGTGGTTGCTTGCTCTGGCTTACCTGCGTGGCTGGCTTGCTTGCTTGCGTGCTTGCTGGTTGGATGGCTTGGATGGCTTGGCTGGCTGGCTTGCTTGCCTGCCTGCGTGCTTGCCTGCTTGCTGCCTTGCTCGGTTGCTCGGTTGCTCGGTTGCTCAGTTGCTTGCTTGCTTGCTTCCTTGCCTAGCTAGCTTGCTTGCTTGCCCGGCTTGCCTGGCTTGCCTTGCCTTGCCTTGCCTTGCCCTGCCCTGCCCTGCCCGCCTGCCTGCCTGCCCGCCTGCTTGCTTGCTTGCTTGCTGGCTTCATTGTGACAGGATGATCGGGAAAAAAATCCCCGGGGAGGGGGAAAAAAGGGAAAAATAGTGCGCCTGAAGTAAAGGTACGTTGGCAGCAGTTCGTTAGGGGGAAAAAACATGGAAACACCCTGCTGAGGAGAGTTCGGGAATAAAGTAATTATCATAAATGTCATTGAACCATACAGTATTGAAACTGAAAACTGTAGGAGTATCACTGTCGAACATATTGGCGGCAAAATGAGATGCTCGGTCTTCAGCTTGGATGCATGTTGCACCCTGCGCTCTCTCCAAGTTTCTTGGAAAAAGCGATTTCAAAAGGCGAAGCCAGGGGGCGCAGTGGACTGGGCAGCTACCGACTGCAAGAAACTTTCGGCCAAGACTTAAAAACTCGAAGACATACTGCAAATCTTCTCCAAATGCTGGTTGGGGTGTTTCTGATTTTTCTGAATTGAATGGATTGTGTCTTTACATGCCCCACAACATCCCGCAACTCTTCCTAAGTTTATTGCAGCCATCGGTGCAGAACTTGCGGAAGCTCGTTACGAAGCAAGTCTGCAGTGTGTTGAACTAGATGGCGTCCCTCGAACGAGGGTGCCTACATGCAAAAAGCTGTGGCGCAAAAGGCAGCTCTCACACTTAGGAGATGCTGCTTAGGATACTGCCAGCTCTGAACTAGGTTTTCAAATGCTAGCGTGCTGAAGCAAGACTTCCTTCAGAACGCACAGAACACCGAAAAAGGCAACTGAATTCGTCAGAGCGGCTGGTTGAGCCTGTGCTGCAAGGCTTTAAAATCTAGTAGTGCCAAAGGGCCTCAGGGCCTTCAGGGCAAAGCTATGTTGCAGCTTGGTCCCTATCTATTCTGTAAACAGCACCTTCAGATGGAGTTTACAGAAACTGCAATAGCCCCAACCCAATCATAGCTGCAGCTCGGCATCTACCTGCAACACTTGATGCAAACATCGGTGCATCTGGAAGATCCACATCCGAAAAATGCAACCTTCGGTCCGCCTCGGAGGTGGACGTCAGGTGAGGAGAATCTTGGTCATCGGAAGGGCTTTCTGAGGTGGTAAAACTTGTTGGATTCGCTTCGGTACCATTCATTGTACCGTTGACCTCAGTTTCGTTTTCTGGATTTTCCGGCCATCTCCACAGGTTGGCATCTATGCGCAATGAACGCCGAACCCATCGTCCAGACCGAGTCAGGTCTTTTGGCCTCCAATGGCCATTTGTCGCAGCTCCCGGTTGTAGCGCTGAACAAGACTCTTTCTTGTCATTCACGGCCCAATTGGCATCAGACACGTTGTATTCAGCCAAAAAGTCCAGCCACTTCTTTGACTCTGTGAAGTTGAGGCCTCCATTGCCGTTGGCCTCGCAAGTGCCCCATTCTGATACGAACAATGCAACACCACGATCGAGGGCACTCTTTGCTTTATCTCGGAGGTATTGCCCATGTGTCGCGGCATAGAAGTGCAAGGTGTATACGATGTTGCCTCCATCAACACGCTCGGTCGATGCAACATCAACATCTTGCGACCAGGTTGGAGTACCTGCGATGACAATATTTTGTGAATGGCGACGTATGACTTTTAGAATCTCTTCGTGATAGGGCTTCACTTCTCTGCTCCAGCTCTGCCAGGTAGGTTCGTTGAAGGTCTCGAAAAGCACGTTGGGCATGTGGCCATAAGTTTTTGCAATTTCATTGAAAAAACGTTTGGCTTGAGGTGTGTGCTGGTTGGCATGGTGGTCATGCCAGTCAACGATCACATAGATGCCTAGTTGATGAGCTGCCCACACCACACGCTTCACCTTTCGCATCTCCCTTTTGGGATGCTCAAGATACGCTCCAGGTTCCACCCCCATGGCTGCTCTGATCAACTCTATGCCCCAATCTCTTCTTAGCCATCTAAGTGTCTCCTCGTTCCAGTATGCACCTCCCCACTGTGACCAAAACAACGACATTCCACGTAGCCGCACAGATTGGTTGTGCTCACCAACTATTTGGTTTCCCACAACTCTCAAATGGCCATGCCTAGCTACTGGGCTTCTGGGTGGAGGATGAGGCAATGTCGTTGTTCTGGTAACTGTGCTTGAAGTTGTAGATGTAGTACCGGTTGAGCTGGAAGTCAGAGTTGTTGTGATAGTAGTTGCTGTACTGCTGGTTGCTGTACTGCTGGTCCGTGTTGCTGTACTGCTAGTTGCTGTACTGCTGGTCCGTGTTACTGTCTCACGGAAACTGCAATACCCATCATAGTTGCGCCGGAGATTTGGTCGGTGGCTTTGGCCCGGTGGCAAACGAACTCTGCGGCAGTCTGTGTTCACCGAGGCCCCACACGCCCAATTCACGTTGGCTTCTGTTGAGAAACATGCGCCAACTACTACATCCGGATTGCAGCCTCCAGGAAAGGTGGGCAAACCTGCACAGCTCACTGTCACTTCTGTCACTTCTGCATTGCTGCCATTCATCGCGGCCACAATCACGGACACAAAAAGTGCAGTTCTTTGAGAACCTCTCGACCTCCTCTTTCCCATGTCCCTTCTCGGAGGGAGCATGTTTGGGGTCGCAACTTTGTGTCCGGGAGAATTCATGCACTTCAAGCCAAGATGCAAGCAGCGTGTTGCAATTCACTTGAGATTCCGCAGCACATTTAGCCAGAAGGGAAACACAAGAAAAGATAAGAAAAGTAGAACCACAGAGAATCGAACGATACATGTATGCAAGGGTGTGCTCTTGACTCAACTTACTGCGTTGCACTGAACAGCAATTGACTCTTTCGAGATTCTTGTAACATCTTTGGAGCCTTTTTCATCCTTTTTCATCCTTTTTCTGCATTCCTATTGACTTCCTACTTCCTACCCTTCTTTTATCTTCTTTTTCTCCCCTGTTCGGCCTGTTCGTTAGATTTCATGACTTTCATGGGCCTCTAGCAGCTCTAGCATCTGCCTATATCTGCCTCGCATTTAGCCAGGTCTAGCCAGGTCCAGCCTCATCACCACTCTGTGCCATGCGCACCACGTAGCTCGGTGGAGAGAGGCTGTGGTCCACAGCCACAACGGAAGCCAGCTGGCCTGGAGTCAAAAAATGACTCAGAACTCAACAAAATAATTTAAAAGTGTCAAGTATTGTCAAGCAAAATGTGTCAAGTCATGTCAATTGTTGCAGAATGTTGCAGAGGGACATGCTGACAGAGTTGTTCGACTTTGTTCACCTTTGTTCGACAGTTCTTAAATGTTCTTAGCCTGTGTCTACGCGGGATCATTTGTGTGCTGAATCCAGCAAATCCTTCCGGTACTTTGGCCAATGTTAGCCATTGTTGTCCATTCCTTATCAATTGTGGCATACAATCCAGCTTTTGACTCTGGCCCATTTGGAGCCGAACATTTGCAGGAATTCATTCCAAACAAATCCACTCGTGTATTCATTTTTGCAGTTGCAAATCAATGGAGCTGATTGCACAACCACGCATCAGTTGCAAAGGAGCGGAAAATTGGCAAACACCACATTTCAAACATTTTCAAACATACTGTATATGTAAATGTATGTAACATACTTAACCATGTCGTATCATTTCGTGAGGCGTTGTTTTCTGTGGGAAACATTCCCTGCGAACCCTGGCCAGAAGCATGGCTGAATTGAAGGTGGGTGAAGGTGGGAGAACATTGTTCTATTGAGAAATTCAAGAAGCCTCACTGGCCTCACTGTTCAAGGTGATGCACTTTCTGGATGCATCTGCAATTTGTCTGCTGTTTGCTTTACACTATACCCATCACCTGACAAAGTCTTCTTGCAAAACTCTTATATCTTAGTCTTATTATTATACTTCATTCTTATTTTGAATTCAACTCTGATGAAACTACCCGTGGCGTGATTTCAATTTGCACCGTGTGAACCCCTGCCTTGTCTGTATACAACGTCTCCAACAGACAAGATCTCTGGAGTATGACACGAAGTCTTGGGCCTTGGATTTCTTGGGTGCTGGGATCTGCTCCTCATGGTTCCTCTGAAAGGGAGAATGCACAGCACAAAGGCTGCGGTCGCTTCTGATTGGGGAAACAAATAAGCAAACATCTGCAACAAACACCGTCAACGTCCACGAACAATTAACACCAAGATTAATATCCATATATATATATAATTATATATAGTGCCGGACAATCACTTAGAACATCGTTTGGAAAACGTTTTTTTCTTGTATGCCGAAAAGTATGTTTAGGAACAGCCGGAAACTCTCACACTTAGAACATCCCAAGACATTAAAACATATATAATTTTATATGTTATTATAATGATCTATTGACATAATTATATTTATGATCACACAAGTTATCAATTAGCTGCGGAGACCCCCACACTTAGAACATCCCATAATGATCTATTGACATAGCTACATTTACATGAACACAAAAGTTATCAATTAGCTGTGGAGACCCCCACACTTAGAACATCTCAAGACATTACACATATATATATATATTGTTTATAATGATCTATTGACATAACTATTTTTAAATGAACGAAAAATTGTCAATCAGCTGTGGAGACCCCCACACTTAGAACATCCCAAGCCTTTACCACACACACACATATATATATATATTTCGATAATGATCTATTATCTATTGACATAACTCTATTTGTTTGAACACAAAGTTATCAATCAGCTGTGGAGACCCCCACACTTAGAACATCCCAAGACACTACAACATATATATATATGATTATATATGTATATATATATGTGTATATATATAAGGACCTCCACCCACATAGAATATGGAATTGAACTTGAAAAACGATACTTAGAATATCTTAGAATAGAGTTGACGTCAAGAAACCTATACTTAGAATACCGTTGGACCATATAATTTCTTTCACTTTTCCAGACGAATTCATCATTTTTCCATATATTTTTCATTTTTCTTTAAACATCCTTCACATGTCCATACAAATTCTTCACTTTCCCATATTTTTTCCCATATATATATAATGATCTATTGACATAACTATATTTGTTTGTTTGAACACAAAGTTATCAATCAGCTGTGGAGACCCCCACACTTAGAACATCTCAAGACATTACATATATATATTGTTTATAGTGATCTATTGACATAACTATTTGTATATGAACAAAAAATTGTCAATCAGCTGTGGAGACCCCCGCACTTAGAACATCCCAAGACATTACCACACACACATATATATGTATACTTCGATAATGACCTATTATCTATTGACATAATTCTATTTATACGAACACAAAGTTATCAATCAGCTGTGGAGACCCCCACACTTAGAACATCCCAAGACATTACAACATTCATATATATGTATATTTATATATATATAAGGTCCTCCACCCACATAGAATATGGAATTGAATTTTTGTCTTCCCCGGGCATCCCAGGAATTGAACTTGGAAAACAATACTTAGAATATCTTAGAATACAGTTGACGTCAAAAAACCTATACTTAGAATACCGTTGGACCATATAATTTCTTTCACTTTTTCGGACGAAATTGTCATTTTCCATATATTTTTCATTTTTCTTTAAACATCCTTCACATTTCCATGTAAATTCTTCACATTTCCATTTTTTTTCATATAAATTCTTTCACTTTTTCAGTCAAACTCATCATTTTTCCATATGTTTTTCATTTTTTTTGAAACATCCTTCGCATTTCCATACAATTCTTCCCTTTTCCAATTTTTTCCATTCAAATTCTTTCATGTTTCCAGACAAATAGATAGGTATGTTTTTCACAAGGTGTTTGGTGACAAAAATAAAAAAATTGGCAGGGTCTCCAAATTGACCGATTTCTTATTACTTTGTGTACTAAAAAGTGCATTTTTTCGCCGCCGCATAGAGATGTACAAAGGCTTCGAGAGCAAAGGCCACATGGGGAGAAAAAAATCAACATGAAATGAGGGAATATTCTAAGTAAGTAAAAATTTCGGCAAATTGACTGCGCAATTGAACAATGCATATTCTATGTAAGCGGAGAACCTTATATTTCTATAATGATCCTTTGACATAACTACATTTAAATGAGCACAAAGTTATCAATCAGCTGTGGAGACCCCCGCACTTGGAAATCCCAAGACATTACAACATGTATATATATAAATATTGATAATGGTCTATTGAAATAACTCTATTTATTTAAACACAACGTTATCAATCAGCTGTGGAGACCCCCACACTTAGAACATCCCAAAACATTACAACATATGTATATATATATATATGTAAATTCCAATATTATATATATATATTTATAATAATCTATTGAAAAAGTACATTTATATGAACACAAAGTTATCAATGAGCTGTGGAGACCCCCACAGTTAGAACATCGCAAGACATTACAACATGTATATATATATTAATTGATAATGATCTAATGAAATAACTCTATTTTTACGAACACAAAGTTATCAATCAGCTGTGGAGACCCCCACACTTAGAACATCCCAAGACATTACAACATATATATATATATGTAAATTCCACTATTATAAATAAATATATATCATATATATTTATAATAATCTATTGACAATACTATATTTATATGAACACAAAGTTATCAATGAGCTGCGGAGAACCCCACAGTTAGAACATCCCAAGACATTACAACATGTATATATATATTAATTGATAATGATCTAATGAAATAACTCTATTTTTACGAACACAAAGTTATCAATCAGCTGTGGAGACCCCCACACTTAGAACATCCCAAGACATTACAACATATATATTTTCAAAATGATCTATTGACAGAAAAAAATAACTTGAACGAGCTCTTGTTTGTGATGTTACGTGTGGGGAGCCAGGGTTAGTTGCAAGGAGCCTCACACTTAGAACATCCATCAAACTACATATAGGATGTTCTAACTGATTTGGCCTCATTATGTTCTAAGTGTGGGGTTCCCTGATGTTCTAAGTGTGAGAGTCCAAAATTTTGGAAAAATTGACGTTCTAAGTGATTGTCCGGCACTAAATATATATATATATATGTGCACCCCCAAGACCTACCTTTTGTGTAGCAGATATGTTCCTGAATGCCTTGTTTTCCTTCTTGTCTTATCTCCTATTGTAGCTGGACACGTCCTGCCCACATATGTAGCTGCAACATAGCGCTGTAACATCCATATTTTACATATTTATTTCATTATATTTAATTAATGTGTTTTGATGTTTTCAGACATTTTTAATATATCAACACGAATTTTATATCTATGATCTGATTCTTGCAAGTCTGCTTTTTCAATATCTTCTACAACATTTGGTATTTTTACATAACCTTTAGGATTTGCCGCAATATGATTAGGGGAATTGATGGATTGAAACTTTGTTATCTGTTTTTACAACAGAGCATAGCATATTATCTTCATTTTTTGATGAATACAACTTTGTGTAAGGTAGTTGTTTATAATGACTACTGGTGGAATTCATGTTGACTAAATTTTCTGTAGCAATTTGAAACCTTTTAGCTCCTACCAAAGCTGAGCTTTGTGCAAAATTAGGTGATATAGTTAGTGCATCTTGAGATTTTACATTTTTATAATGCAATTATTTTTTTAAATCATAATCCTCCTACAATTTCATAACATTCCATCAAACTTTGCATAGTAAATTGACAATAATCAATCATATTCTCATTTGATGTTAGTTGTTTTTTGTTCTTGTTAACCTACGTTACTTCCATTACTTTTTTCTTCAACATCTACCATTTTTTTGGCAGAAGAATTGGTATTGTTTTTGCTGTAATGATTCATTTTTAAAATCTGAATAATGTAGATGATCTTGTAATTTCATTGCTTTAAATCCAGGAGTGCTTGAGTTAGATATGTTATTTTTTAAAACATAAATGATTTTGTTGATAATAAATTAATAAGTAAAAAAATCCTAGATCAGTTTTTAATATATGTGTCATATTACAAATTTTTTATTTTTTTTATAGTTCTTAATTTTGTGATATTTTTGAAGGTATTATGA